CTTCTTTTTATTTATGCTACTATTTGGTTGAGTGTAAATTTGTGGTATTCTCCGCAACTATGCGTAATTGAGTTTTTTCGTCCTGAAGACCTTTCCTAAAATTAGTTACTAGTAATAATTGCAAATTTTCTATTAGTACTTTAGCTTCATTTGGAATATAATTCAAGTTACAAGTTTCTTTATATTTGTTAAAATTTTTTTGGATACGATCACCGTATTCTTTAATACTCTCTCTATGATTTTGTTTTATATTAGTTAATAAATTTAAAAAATAAGAAGGAGGTCTCTTATCTGTGAATGTATTTATCATTTTTACAAGCTTTTCTCCTATGACATTCAAAAGTTTTTTTATATCTTTTGTAACAATTTTGTCTATACCTGGTGAGCAATTTTGTTTCAGTTCTGATATAGTTTTTTCTATTTCTTCTTTGTTGGTCGGCTCTAAGAAAATACTATTTTCTATTTCTTCTTCTTTGAATGTCACAGTTCGTGGTTTCTTAATGTTTGTTGCTAATTTTTTACCAACAGTCGCAATATGATTGTTTACTTCTTGAACAACTTCGGTGGGATCATGAATTTTTTGTTTATCATTTTTTGTGATTTGTTTTATTTCACTCTTATTTTTCTTCTTTTTTCCACAGAAGTCATTTAGCACTTTCCATGTTTTTTTGGAATCCCCATTTGCTTCCTTCAGTTTTTTTTCAGCATGTGTTTTTTGTAATTTCTTTCTGGTGTTATTTACCTTGTTCTTCATTTTCTTAAACTCATTTTCTGTATATTCATTTTGGAGTCTCTTCCATCTCACATACATATCATCTCTTTTTTTTATCATCTTTAAAAAATCCTGTGTTATCCATTCATTTCCAGGTCTTATTTTGATGGTGTATTGTTTAGAACATTGGTTCTTTGAAATCTCAATAATTTCAGCCATTTTAGCAAAGGAGATTGTAGCAGGTTGGCCTTGTAAATGGTTTTTCACCGTCTCTATCCACTTCTCTTCATCCAATTTTATTTTTATTTTCTTTTCTTTCTTATGTTTTTCAACTCTACTATTCATGTTTATTGTCATTATTTTATGATCACAGATCATATGATCATATAACGTTATTTGACACTGAAGGTTTTTATTTGCAAGTACATGGTCTAATATTGAGCTGCTTCGTGATGCCGTTCTAGTTGCGTTGTTCATAGTTATTTTATTTTTTATTTCAAATGCGTTCATTGCAATTATATTTCTGTATTCACTTATAATGTGAGATTCTTGTAATAAGTTCAAGTTCATGTCACCAATTATCAAGCATTGATTCTTCTCACTTTCCATCAATTTGTCCATTTCTTGAAGAAAATACGACCAATTTCTTGTACACAAAGTGACAACGCCGGATGCTCCAAAGTCCAAATCATCAATCTTCAGCTTTGACGCAGGAAAATCTCAGCGCACCGATCTTTGTTCGCCTCAACATACTCCAATCACTCCTCACAAAACTTGTCGCTATCCTTGGCCGACCCACATAATAAAAGTAGTGCGAGGTCAGGGCTAGGTTCGTCCTTGTCACAGAGAGAGCACCATCGGAAACATCGATCCATTTCCCATGTCGTTAATAAAGAACAGTGGGGTCGATGACAGATCGTTCGATCAGCTGATAATATTCATTGGAATAATAATATAGCAAGAATTAAGAAAATAAAATAGCCCAGAGATCTACCCTTTGCAAATGACAGCTTCAGGATCCCTAGCAACTCTATCCGAGGTAAGTATAATAACTCTAGCTCTATGAATCCAATTAATTATAATATCCCAACAGGCAAACAACCAGAAACGAACTTCAACCACTCATCAATTTATTTCCAGGTAATTCCCTCAAGGAAAAGCAACAATAAGGGGTACAAAATCACAGTATAGCGAACCAGTTAATCGTCAAAGGTGCGACAAAGAAGGATACTTCACGAAGTTAATTGATTGATTGACTCCCTGCGTTCAGAACTCATAACATATTGATATTTAGTTGAAAGTATTTGTACTTCTATTATGAATTATGATTAAGTGCAATCTATTGTATTTGAAATTTTATCTTAATATAAAATTTAGTAATTTCTCTTACAGTTAATAATTATGTTCATTTTTATTTACAAACAATAATAAAATCAGGTCTAAATTACACCGCGCATTCACCATTTTGTCCTGAATCCTTGAATATTCTTTAATTTGCTCGAAAGAGTCGAAAGGCTAGATTTTAACGTTACAAAAACAAAAAAGTTACAGCGAATTAAAAGGTTATCAAGATAAATTGAATGCACGGTACATAGTGATGTAAAATTCCCGAAACATTCAAAAGCCGCGAACATTCTCGGAAACTTTCTGGGAATATTGGAAATTTTCGGGAACTTATCAACTTATGGAAATATTGTTTTTTTTTTTAAATTTATATCTAAATCAGACAAATCGTAGTAAGCTTTATTTACCTATTATTGTAGTGTACTGACTATAGAATCTATAGATTATAAACCAAGAAAAACCTCTATTTTTTTCTGTAAGATCAGCTAAAAATTAAACTATTTAGTAAAAACACTTTTTTCTACTGACGTTTCATAATAGCAACTTTTCGATTGTCATTTCAGTTTTGAAACGACATTCTTTTAGGCACTGAGTGCGTGAAAGTTACTTTTAGGCACTCAGTGCGTAAAAGTGACTTTTGAATGCGTAAAAGTGACTTATGAGTGCGTAAAAGTAATTTTTAAGCACTAGTGCCTAAAAGTGTCATTCATTATTCAGAAATAAAAAACACACTAAACACATATATTTGAATTTTGTTTTGTATTTATTATGAATATTGAAAATGGAATTACTGAATTGAACGTTTGGGTTACTCAAAACAGAAGTTTGTGTTATTACCTACTTTCTAGGATTTTAATTATTGATGTCGAATTTTGAAAAGAAAATCGCATGAAAAGTGTCAGGTGTCAAGTAAAAGCAGGTAACAAAAATTTTGGGTGTAATCGACTTATTCACATGAAATAAAATTGTGTTTTTTTATTATAAAATGCCAGTAGAAAAAATCTTGTATACAATACGTTACGAAACGATGTCTTTTAGTCACTCGACGTGTTGTCCAACTCGGCTTTGCCTCGTTGGACAATTTTCACGTCGCGTGCCTAAAAGACGCTCATTTCGTAACTTATTGTATAAATAGCTATTTTCTACGAGCGTGCGCAGAGTTGTTACTTTGCGCACTTATTTGCGTGCGCAAAGTTGAACTTTGCGCACGGAAACTCTTTGCGCACTTATTTTTGTTACGCATAGTTACCGCATTTATACTCGATTTTTCAATGTTTTGTGGGTTTCTTGATGAACTTATATTCAGAAAGAAGGGCCTGATGTTATTTTTGTTCCAATAAAAGCATTTCTATCAAAAAGTCTTTAATTTCCTCCCAGTTTTCAAATTCTTTATATTGTGTTACCTCTTGTGCCTTCCCTTTCAATTTAGTTGCGAAAATTAATTCAGCTAAGTTAGCCTTTTCTGTGTCCTTTACGATTTTCATCATCGCATCACAGCTTTTTAGAAAAAAATTTAGTGAATTAGCATCACCTTGCCCATCAAAAGGATCAATTTGATTTAAAACGTCAAATGCGTCTTTACCAGCCATTTTTGCTCAAAATTTATATGTAATTTAAAAAAAATTGATTATGTTACGTTCAATCGATAAATAATTGTTATTTGCAGTACCTATCTAAAATATAATAATTATTGATAATAATATTCACGTTCTGTTTGTATAATAATACGTGTTTAATAAAATCTTATTCCTAACTTAACAAAAAAGTTTTGAAGAAAATAGCGTCACACAGAAAACAAAGAAAGGACTTACTTGTTCATTTCCTGGGATTGGAAACTAGTTGTCGATCTTCTGCTGCTACAGTCCGCTGCGTCTTCGCGCTCCTGCAAACCAGTTAACAGTTGCTCTCTGCTTGCCGAGGAAACTTGCTGCGTCTGGGCGCGCCTTCAAATAGCCCCAGGACTTTTCTTCCGGAAAGGGTGTTGATGCGTACTAGGCGCTCCTGCGAGCAACACCACGAAATCTCACCGCTGCCACCAATGTTAGGAGTTGAGCCACAAGAACTGTGACTTTTATCCCAAATATACCTACACTAGAATTAAAACTATATCTTTTGATTTAATAAAAAAAGGTTTCGTTTATTTGTGAAAATTTATAAGTTTTGGGAAGGACACTTTGTCAGTTATGAGAGGTAACTTTAGATGTTGTCAGAGTCAAGATGGAATTCTGAATGTCTTCTCGTCTTCTTTCCTGAAAGAAGGAAACGTCCTGGAACCTCCTTCGAAAGGGCGGGAGTTCCTCTAGTTATTCACTGAAAGTACCTTAACGCTATTTTACAGATGTTACTTATATTGGTGCTAAAATATTTAATGATTTGGGATTTTTTTGGGAAGTTTATACAATAATAAAAACTAAACCCTATTCGGGCACGTAAATAGTTATTGGACATCATTCCGACAATTTAACAGTTTATGAAAATAGAGGGATATAAAACAAGGGTCCGAAAGGTAAAGCCATATTGAGCCGACAAGGCATGGTCAGGCCTCTCTGCAAAATACATAGTAAATATAATAGAAAATTAGAGATATAATTAAATGTTCCTATAATCACTGTGTTATCTTATTGGTTCATAACATCAGGATAATTTTCCACCTTTTTTCCATTGATCTCCTCAGAAAATAAAACGTTAAGATAACTCTTCGTGTCTGGTAAAACCAAAAAAACACTTAGAAATAAATAAAGGGTCTGGAAATAGAACTGACTGCTTGGTGCTTTGTCGGAATTTTCTAGATACAAGAAAATTTCACTCTCCAAAGCCTCAAACTATTCCTATTAGAAATCAACAAAACGCAAGGTAAGCGTCCAGCTTTATGAACAGTTATATTTCGTTCTATATAAATTAATCAACAATTAATTAATCCTAAAACAAATATTTTGCAGACAGAATGTCAGATTCAGAATCCAATGACGACGGGTACGTCGTAAAATTGCGGGGCCTGCCTTGGTCAGCTACCGTCGACGATATTTTAAAGTTTTTAGGAGATATTGGAGTGGATAAGGTCCATCTTACTCTCAGCAAAGAGGGCCGGCCCAGTGGTGAAGCTTTTGTCGAACTTGAAACTGAAGAAGATTTAATGAGGGCTGAAGAAAAAGATAAAAAGCATATGGGGTCTCGTTACATTGAAGGTAATTTGTTTATTTTCATTAGATTAATTTTTGCTTTAAACTTATTATTGGTTTTATAGTGTTTAAAGTTAATCGTGCAGAAATGGATTGGGTGGTTAAAAGATCCGGCGCTTCTTATGATGGGAATGATGATGGTTGCGTACGTCTTAGAGGATTGCCCTTTGGGTGCTCTAAAGAGGAAATTGCCCAATTCTTTACAGGTAATATTTTATTTTCAGGAGATAGTTTAGGTAAAAAGTTGAAAGCAATCTTATCAGAACTTTTAAGCCTAAAAGCAACATACTTAATTTCAAAAAAAATAATAATAATTTTATACTTACTACACTTTATTTTTTCCCAAGGTAGATTTTGACATTGAAAACTTTGAAACATAAACAATAACGCTTGACCCTGATTGGTCGCAAAATGAGGTGTTTCTGCAGGTTGACATCAGTTTAACAATAGCGACCAATAAGTGGCATTAGCGGCATTGTTTATGTTTCAAAGTTGACAATGCCAAAATCTATCTTGGAAAAAAATAAACCATACATATTTTTGCTTTTAGGCTTGAACTTTTTGAATAGAAAAATATTACTGGTATAGTTTGTTTCATATTGCAAAATAAGGAACGTCTATAGGTAATCTATATCATTGCAACTTGCAACCAAATAATTTGCTTTTGTGTTGTCAATATTAATTGTTTATGAATTTCATTTTTAATAATAATCAACTGTTTGTGTTCCTTATTTTGATAATCTCGCCACAGGATCTAGTCTTTAAATTGCTAAAAAAATGTAGTTCAAAATGCTTTACAACCTTTTTCTTGTTTGAATCAGCTTTGAAAGAACAGATTCTGTTTAAAAAGTAATTTCCATTTCGACTTGGTCTATTATTGCACAAAATAAGGCTTTTATTAAGATAGGTAATCCCATAAAACAATCAAGTTATATTTTATAATTTCAACAAGATATGTGCTTAGAGCTCCAGGGGGCAATGGGCAATTTATTTGCAGCGTGGTCAGTGGTGTGTAAAAAATAAAAGTATTTTCCTTGGTATTTTCTATAATATTTTTGAATACCTAATTTTATGAACAATTGTCCAAGTGTAGATAGTGCTCTATTTTGGCTTTTTCTCTTGAACATTGTCCAAAATTGCATTTCAGAACCACTAAATGGTTTAAATTTTTCCTAAAACTGCTTTCATTTAGCGTTTGTCTTGAAATATCTTAAAGAGAAAATTTCTAAAATGAGTATTAACTTGCATCTTAAGGATATTTTTAGCAATTTTTCACTTATTTTCATTCATAGCCCTTCCTAAGTTGACATAAAGTAAGCGTTTAACCAAAAAACAACCTAAATTAAAGTTTATAGTCATACAGATCATTTTGTCTTGGTCCAAAATTACATTAATAACCACAAAATGGTCCAAATTTGTCCCAAAAGTGCTTTTTTTGTAGACTTTCTTCTTGAAATATTGAGAGAAAGAATCCAAAATGAGTGCAAAATTGTATTTTAACGTTTTCTGCGTTTTTTCACTTCTTCCTAATCAAAATTCATCCAAAGTGGACTTAAAATATGAAAAAAGCAATCCAAATTGGAGCTTCTAGTACCTAGTACTTTTGTTTCAATATTGTATTGAATTGGCTAAACACTAATTCGAATTACCTATGAAACCTTGGATTTTTTTTTGTCCTAAAAATGCTTCTTTTTCGCTTGCCATTTTTGGAAAAAATCCCCTGCAACCCTTGAAAATCTTTCCGCAGTTCCTAAATTCTGCAATCTTGTAACATTTTTCTACTAGTGAGTGACTTGACTTTCGGCTCAAAATTTCAATAAAAACCGCAAAATGATCTAAATTTGTAATTGCGATTTTTCCCGCTAGACAAATTTGAACATTGAATACATAAGAATTCATGAAAGGAATACATGAGAATACAACGGAAGTAAGCTTTATACAGAAGAAAAGTACCATTTTTTTGTAATGACTGCTTAAAAGAAAAATCAGGGACACTTGTTAAAAGAGTAGAAAAATTAAGCTTTGATAACAACAATTTGAAAATTGAGATGGAAAAAGTTATCAATCAACAACAAGAAGAAATTAGCGAAATAATTGAGAAAAATAAACTTCTTATTCAGGAAAAAAGAGATATGGAGGAATGTATGAAAAGGATTAGAAGCACTACTATGGATTTTGAGGATGAAGTCTTTGAAACGGAAGAATGCCTCAAAAGAGAGATCAACAAGCAGAAAGTTGAATTAAATAAGGTAAAGTACCCAGTTGTTGACAGGGTCCCAAAAGTTGACACATTAGCATATTATTCCCGAAAATAAGAATTTATATAGGTTATAAGCTAACTGAAATAGCTTATAGTATTGTTGGAGCCATCTTTCAGGCTATAGCTGATGTATGGATTTGAAATGACAAGTCTTTTCAAAATTGTGGCAAGAAGTAGTGAACAGGTGCAAATGTTTGAATTTTTCCCAGATTTCTAGTGAAAATAGTTAAGAAGATATAAAAACAAAAATTCTCAAAGCCAAGGTAGGGTTGATAAATTATGAATAATATATATTTACTGTATAATAAGATACATTGTAATACATATTTATTATTGTTTTATATCTTAAACAACTGGCATAAACTTTTTAAGGGGGGGTCTCAACTATTGAAGCCCAAATCGAGGGGTGATCCAAATGGATTTTTGGCGGTAAAAATATTTTAACATTGTAGTCTGTCTCTTTTTATTGCTCTGGATTAAAAAGAAACCTAGATATGGGTTTGGGGAATGTTACGGTCGTAGATCCAATAGATGACACCCCTGTTACCCCTGTCAAGGTTTGGAGCTTTGGAGTGTCAACAATTGGTCCTTTCAGGTTTAAATCAAGAGATGACGCATGAAAAATGGAAATTGCTGAAATATGCACCAGAACTACCAGAAGACGTGATTGCTGCGTTGGATGATTGCGGTAGGGGGCTCACTGCAGCTACAGCAGCACAAAAACACAATGTGCCAATGCTTTCCAAGCAATTTCTTTTATTACCAATTTGGAATTGAAATTTGTATTTTTTTCCCAACAAAAAGTTTCCCAATGTTATTTTTTATTAATAAAAAGTTTTATTCTTACATTATTGATGTTTCTACCAGGGTTTCTACTGATACAGGCAACATGTCAACTATTGGTTTCAAGAGTGTCAAGTAATGGAACCACAACATGTACTTTAAAAAAATTAAAATAACTGGTTATTATGCGCATATATTTTATTTAAAAAATTGTACACTTAGAAAAATATACTTCTTAGTTCCACAGACCGTGATAAAATTTCTTAAAAGTAAAAATTTGGTTATGTAAAAAAATATATGTCAACCTTTGGATCAAAAATGTGTCAACTTTTGGCGCAGTGAACTTTTTTGGGTGTCAACTATTGGGGTTTTATCGCCTTTCAGGTATTTTTGGCATAATAACACAAATAATAGGAATATAGAGTAAATAATATATCTACACATTTAATTATGAGTTTGAAATCACACTAAAAAATATATCAAAGCCTTGGGATTGAATATTTGGAAAATGTGTGGTATTCATAAGCAAGGATACCCTTAACATGTCAACAACTAGGTACTTTACCTTAATGTAAATAAAGAAATCTGGATTTGGGTTAAGAAATTAACAATTCACTAACTAGTAACCAAGAAACCAAAGAAAACAACAGAAAACTAGAGATGGACCTCCAAAACTTAATGGCACTTAATGACGAAATGTTAACCTCAATCAGAGCCCTAACCGAAGATAACAAAACTTATATGAATTACTACAAAAAAGCGCAAAAAGAGATCTTTCTAATGAGGACTAGCAACTTTCAGCAAAGAGAGACCGTTGATGTCAGTACACAGTATGATCCTACTATGATAGGAGTGAAGGGTTTGCAAAAGGCTATTGACAATAATGCTACACCACAATCAGAGCCCCCACCACTGATAACGCCACCAATATCTATGGAACCTGTTCAGCGTAAAGTTTTAATTGTATCTGACCAGTTTGGATATAACTTCGGATCAACAATACAGGACTATTTGCCAATTTTTTTTTGTAGAAACTTTCATAAAACCAAACGGTCGCTATGCAAATGTGATACAACATTTAGTACTCCATACAAGAGATTTTACATTGAATGACTCAATCATAGTTCTGGCTGGCTTTAACGATCTAAACAACAAGAAGTATACTTTCGTCAAAAACATAAATAATATACAGGATGACACAAGAAATTGGGAACAACCTATAACTTTTTTAATATACAGTGTGTCCCGCTTAAGGACTGACCACCCTTCTGCGGCTTTACTGGTGTACAGGGTGTCCACATTTAAAGGCTAAAATTTCAATAAGTACTATTAGAATTTTTTTTAGAAAAAGTCTGATAGCAAATTCTTGTTTAGAATGGTCTAAAACCCAACTGTACTAATTTTTGTTTCAATACGATACAGGGTCATCACAATAAATTTTCCAAATTTAATGGACCAAACCTCAAAAATGTCATATTTTGAGGCCTCGAGAACAACAAAACTTGATGCAACATAGTTTTAGAACATCCTTAACCAAAACTTGTAGTGAGCTTGTCTCAAAATATGACATTTTTGCGATTTGATCCATGAAATTTTGAAAATTTGTTGTGACCACCCTGTATCGTATTGAAACAAAAATTAGTACATTTGGGTTTAAGGAGATTCTACACAAGAATTTGCTATCAGATTTTTTCTAAAAAATCCCTAATAGTACTTTGAAATTTTGAGCCTATAAATGTGGACACCCTGTACACAAGTACAGTGTGATCTGTTATAAATGTCACCCCTTCTAATTTTTTCATTTGACATTTTTGACAAAAGTGTCAAATACAAAAGTTTCAATAAATTGTCGAAAGTTTCTAACTAAGTCAATTTTAGGCATACAGGGTGCGTCAAAAAAGTGTAGCAGTGTGAAGTTATATTCTTTTAAATGGAACAGCTTGTATATGTCTATCTTCAACAGTTATAGGGGAAAACATGAAATTCCCTTTCAAGGTTTCATATTGAAAAAAGAAAAAATATACTATTTTAGCTTTAGAGATTTTTTTATAAACAGTTTATTGTTCAAACTTTATTCAATAATATACAAGGTGAAATATAATAAATCCAGATGTCTAAGTTGAAAAAAATTACATGAGAGACCTAGGAAGAGATTTTCGTGTTTTTCCCTATTACTATTGGAGATAAACCGAGAGATAAACATATCAAACCGTATATCGTTGAGATCAGGTTAAGCGGGGCTAACAAATAGGCGCACAATATACAGGGTGTTCCATTTAAAAAAAATATAAATTCACACTGCTACACTTTTTTGATGCACTCTGTACTCCTAAAACTAACTCAGTTAAAAACTTTTGACAATTTCTTAAAACTTTTGTATTTGACACTTCTGTCAAAAATGTCAAATGATAAAGTTAGCAGGGGGTGACATTTATAATAGATCACCCTGTACAGCTGCAGAAATAAAATTATGAGCCTAATAGGTGCCAAATTCGAGTAGATGTAAGACAATTTTTTTTAAAATTGAATTGGTTGAAAAATAACAAATGTATAAGGGTGGTCAGTCCTTAAGCGGGACACACTGTATAAGTTGAAAATTTGAAATTTGGGGATCCTAAACGAGGCAACTTTTCGAGTTTTTTAGAAGAAAATTGCGTTATCAGTCACCTGTGGCCATAACTTTTGATATTCAAATGGGATACCCGGTATTTTTTAAGTTTTCTGACATCAGCAGATCATTTTACATATGTTAGGACAATTTTTGTCATAATATACAAGGGGAGTCATTTAAAAAAAACCTAACTTTGTGTCACTTTTACTTATTGGGCCATCCTGTATACTGGAAAATAATTTAGGAATGTAGTACTCATGTTTATCTACCAGTTTTGTATTTAGTTTTTTTTTTGTCGATCTCCGTTAGTATAGGAGATATGGACCACCACGCGCTTAGTAACTCACCCTGTATATGACTACAAGGGAATACATAGGAATACATGCGAATTTTAGTAGCTATAATAAAAATATTGGCTATTAGGTTTAGCAAATGAAAAATGTCAATCGTTTGGTTAGTTTTATTATACATCAAATTATATTACACTACTACTTTTAAGTCTAGGTTTTTTGGTGTGGCTAGCCATACTGGATTTAGACACGAGTTCTATTGCTGAAATAAAATCTTCAGAGTCTGTCTGTACCTACTTACTCTACACGATGACTCATTCAGAAGCCAACTTTTTAATTATACTTAACATATTTTTCCTTTAGCTTTACCCATAACATAAGGTTTTTCCGTCGTATTGACTTCAGTGAATGTATTGAAGAAATTTTTCAAATCCAATGAGTATATTTCCTCTTCAGATGGAATAATATTTCCTCTCGTGTTTCCTTGATCCCTAGTACCATCAGTAAGGTTTTCAAGTTCGCCTATTTCAATTTCATCAAAATCTACATATTATGATTTACGCTGTGTCTAGAATCCCGGTACCGGTAACATATTTTTTACCGGTAGTTTTGATGCTACCCGGGATTCAAGTAAATCCCGGTAAAAAATGTAGTCGTTGGCGGTTTCTGTTTTATCAAAGTCCAACTTAACCAAATTTTTTATGTTTTTAACTTGTTTTGTTGACGTGTGAACGTAAAGTGGAATGTTTTCGTGAGTTTATTAACGTGAAATTACTTTTAAAATGGTTTTTAATGTAGGACAAACATTTAAAAGTTATAAAGAAGTTGAAGAGACTTTGACATGTGAAATGTGCCAGTTTGTGTAAAATACCCAAAATGTGGTATTGTTCTGATTGCTAACTTATAAATAGAAAATGAAAGATATTTATTTTAATTTACATTCTGAACAGTATAGTTATATGTATACAGGGTGTCCCACGAAGTTTTTCCGGAATGATAACTCCAGAACGCATCCTCGTATATGTTCCACCGTATAATTTTTTTATCATTTTCTTTAACAAAGCCTTAACAAATATGGCATTGCCGATTTTGTAATTTAATTTTCTAACGAAAAATGCCATAATATACCATGAGTTACATTTAAGATTCGAAAGTTGACGTCACTTGATCGAAATTCAAGCAAAAGTGGTGAAATTGGATGACATTGGTAAAAGCGGCACAAAAATTTACCCAGATCCTCAAAATTTCAATTATATTGGATCACGCGTTCCGAAGTTATTACCTGGGATAAACGTCGTGGGACACCCTGTATATTGACTTGAAGTAAATTAAATATTAAGAGGCCAACAACAAGCCGTTAAAAATTGAGAAAAAGGGTTGATTTCCCGAGATGAGAACTCACTTATTTTGTAATATTTTTTGACCGGATTAGAAAATAATAAAAGATAAAAATCTAAAGAATAATGCTGTTGTTTTAGTTTTTCGAAAAAAAAAATTGCAAATTGAAAATATCACGACCTAAATACTCGAAAAAAAGCATCATTTCTATCGCTCGGTACATCCAAACCCATCGCTTTTTTTAAAAAAATGAAACAAGAGCATTGTTCTAAATTTTATTATCTTTTCGAATGTTCTTGATTCACTAAAAAATATTAAGTAGTTTTTGAGATCTCGTCTCAAATTGTAAGCCCTGCAAACACGGAAATTCAAAAATTTTGGCTGCAGCGAGGTGCTGCCTCTGGCGGATTTAATTTCGCACCGGGGTAAGTAAAAATTACACAACGCGAGAGGACTGCAAGGCCAGTTATTAGTTTGTGTAAATAATTATGGTGAATATATTTCATAATGAACTCAAAACGAACAAAGATAACTTTACTAGAATTCAAGAAACGAAAGAGGATATTATATAGCATAGTTAAATACAGTTAGTACGTGAAGGTTAGGAATAAAATCCATCAAAAATACAAGGTTGATTTTTTTTTCAAAAAATCTCGGATACCTACGTCGATTTTTGATTTTAATGGCCGTTTTTTTGATGAGAATTTCATACATTTGTCAAAACTGACATACCTACCAACAATAAACTAACATGTTTTGATTGTTGATTTGAACCAATCAGATTGGAATTACGTGATAATTTATATTAGTGTAAATTATTGCATAGTAACTAATGCGAGAACTGGTGTTTTGACAAAAAATTTGAATTTTTGATTCATGAAATTTTCTCATAAAATACAGTGTATCCACTTAAGTTCGCAGCACATGGGAAACTTTTTTATTATCAATTTTACGAAAAAAAGTTATCCTTTATAAGAGTTTCTGCTTCTTGAAAAAATAATATCAAACTATGTATTAAAAGTTGAAATAGCATGTACAGGGTGGTCAAAAAATAGAAAAATATACAGGGTATTTCCTTTCCTAAGTACGGTCCGTAACTTCAGAATGTCATTCCTTACGATATTTTAACAAAAAAAGTTCCCATAAATATGTGACCAGAAATGCGTAGTTTCTGAGATACAGGGTGTCAAAGTTTTAGAAAAAATCGTTTTTTCAGCTCAAAAATTTCTCCAATTTTTTTTTTTTTTTTAATTTGGCAGGTTGATTTGTGATAACGAAAGGTTTCTTTTGACTGAAATATGACTTGCTTAATCTGAAAAAAATATCAAAGGTTAAAAAAAATAGTGATGTGCGGTTTTTTTTCTACTTTTACCAAAAAACCCTGCATATTTTCCTATTTTTTAATCCCCCTGTACCGGGTGTTTTTTTATTTTCGATATCATTTTGATCACTTGTAACTTTTTTGTTTTTGAAGTTATCAAGGTAAACAAAAAAACAAAATGTAGGGTTAGTAGCCAAGTTTTTTTTCAAATTACACGTAAAACAAAACACTATGAACTTTTTGACATATAAGCCTACATTATATTTTTTCAAATGGAACACCCTGTATATTATATATGTGTTCGATATATCTTATTCTGATTACAATGATATAGCACACTTCATATTTTGGTCCACTCGTTTTTGACAAATCGGCAAAAATATGAAACTTTCGAAGTGAAACTTATTAGGCGGCGCACAGTGATTCAGATTAGACATCTACGAAGACAAAAATAATTTTTGGACAATAAACAAAACACATTTTTTTTCATTTGGTCGATAAGTAAACATTCGAGATAAGAAAAAAAAGCAGGCAAAATAAATTTGCCATTCAT